GTTCGAAATTCAAAACAAAGGGCAAAATCGACCAAAGGAATTGTTGATCATGATGAACATTTGGGGAATGCGGTTGAGAAGACCGAAGGTTTTAGGGTTTTGGGGGCGCACGATTGCGTGTGACGGCTAAATTAATGACGAAAAGACGGTTCGACGACCGCACGATGACAAATGGGCTCACGGACTGAGGTAGTGGCTCGCGGATTGAGATAGTGGTCATGATGGCAAGACAGTTCAGGCTGCCGCACGCCTTAGACGTCATTATGTAGGATTGGCCATATTAGAGGACGCCACGTGGTGAGTAGGTTAGCAGGATCAAGATCGTGCGATCGTGCTCAATAAATGCGCCTTGGAACTCGGGTATGAGGATTCTGAGTGGTAGATTCGCTTCTTCAAGGCCGGAACTCGGCCGAAGATTGCAGGCCGAGGACCTCGGAAGCGAGGGGGCAATGTTTGGGCCCAAAATAATAGTTTGGGCCGAGTGTAGAGCCATTCTCGGCCCGGAAGGCCTTGCGACAAGAAGACCATGGATCGTTCAGCTTATGGGCTTCCAAACCTAGGCCAGTTAGGTCAAAATGCAATGACAAGCCGAGTCCTGATACAATAGGGATTCTCGGCAGGATTAACAACCTAGAAGCGGATAGGGCTCGAATAAGGACTAGGTTCACAATCCTAATGAAAACAGGACTGGTCGAGGTGATATTGATCCGGAGAGGGAAAACCTAGTCCGAATGGGATTCTATCTCAGATTCGGGGTCCAGTGCTATAAATAGCGGAAGCTGTGCATCAGGAAAGACCCCACAAAAATCAATACAAAAATTGCCCTGCGCAAACTCTCACAACTTGAGATCTTTTTCTTTTCCTTTTTCGCTGACACATCTTCCGTTGGCATCAACAGCACTGTGGAAGCAACCGGTGATATCTTAAGTCGGCATAGATAGCTCTGTCACCGTAGAGTCGGTCGGTCTCGCAGTATCTTCCGTTGGCATCAACAGCACTGCGGCGAGAACGGTCGATTGCCTATCCAAGTCTCGGTCGAGAAGGGTTTTCGAATCCTTGTTGGTCGAGGTCATCTCATTAGCCTTCTCGGCGAGGTGAGGTGTTACAGTTATTACATTCGGCACATTGTAAGCCGAATTCGGTTCGTGAACTTTGTAAGAAATAGCAGCCTTGTCTTCAGGCTCGAGAACCCAAGAGGCCGAGACGCGTTCCTTTCTCGGCCGCAATCGCAAGACGCAGAAGTCAGTAGCGCGACCCAACGCAGCATCATCAAATTTACTCCTCGGCCGAGCCTCGGCCGACGAGTTGGCACGCCCCGCAATCACCGAAGGACGTAGTTAGCTTAGAATATATTCGGCCTGCGCGCCACGTAGGCTTGGTAGATTTTAGGGTCAACAATATGTCACTCTGTTCTAAACCTTGCTAAGAAGGGGCTCGATAACATGCATTCAGCACAATACCAAATTACCAATTGATAATCAGCAAACAGACTGGAAATGATGTAATCACACGAAAATTGTGAAGCTTTCAATATTTCTAAAATACCCCTTCCTAATTATAATTCTAAATTAAAACAATTAAATTTAATTTAAAAAACCAAATAAACATTAAAAATAAATAATGAAGAATAAAATGTTAGAAAACAAATTGTCACATGTATGATCACGTGACAAAAAACTAGTATACTATTACTCGAGAAGGCACTGTATATATCCACAATCCATAATTGTCAGTTAATTCGTCAGCAGTCATGACTTAATTCTTTGTTATACATGAATATGGCTAGTACTATTCATATGCTTCTTTTTGTCATTTACACTTGTTAATTTTTACTTATTAATTATTTATTTATATATTTGATTTGATAATCAAAAATTGATTGTTCGATATATAAAAATAAATGTGTAAATAACATCACTCGTATGAATAACGTTGCAAAAAACTGAAAACTAGCTGATGCTCATGCTACGCAGCACAAGACCTAAAGTGTAAATAGTTTATATTCTCTTTTCGTACATGTACTACTGTGTACAGAAGATATGGTTGATTCCTCTCCTCAATCTCAGCTGAGAATGGCAACCGTTAAATAGGAAAGATCTCAGAGGCTAGTTTAGTTATTTGGTAACCAAAAAAGAAGAAAGGCTTGTTCTCTCCAATCCCCGGTCCCCAACTAATCTAGTTCCTTTCCAACCATTTCATTCCCCGGAGGCTAGAGGTAGGGCTAGCTACATGAACAAGTCTTTCGGTTATGTGCAGAAAAGAGAGAATATTTCAAAACAAAGGAGATGTTACGTAAGGTGGAGTTTTCCCAGAAATAACAGAGCGCACGTTGGCAGATTGGGGAAGCTTATTGATGTTTATAGTGACTTGTAGTGTCTGCCAGTACACTCACGCACTCTTACTGTTGTGCTCTTTATTTCTTATGCAATCAGTACAACCAGGGAATCTCATTCCCCATATATGTAAATGTGCTACGACTTGTCATTTCACCTATTTTTTCTTTATCTTTTCCCGGCCTGTTATCAGTGAAGTGGAGTTCGGTACGAATTCTTACTTAAAATTACTGATCATAACCACAAAACTATATAATTTCGGATAAAAAGATTTTGAATAAGAGTTCCAATCATTCTTAAATAGCTAAATATTATTCGAGTTGGATTCTCTCTCCTTTATATTCTTCTCCCCTCCCTTTCCGCCTCTCTTAGTTTCCTCTTATTCTTTCTCTATGTAGAGAAAGTAAAACCAAATAAATATGTGACTTAGTTTTTATTTGCACGTTTGAATAGGAGGAAATGAAAGAAAAATTAGGAAGAGAGAGAATTACCTTATCCAGTTACTCATGATTCTTTCCTTTTTTTTTTTTTTCCTTTGTCGAGATGTATACAAGCGAAGCAATATTGGGGACAAGGGCGGATCTACAGTGGGCTTAGGGGGCGGATGCCCCCACTGAGATTTTTTAAAAATGTAAAAATTGTATGCATTCTAATTACCATGAGTAACACTGATTAAATAATAATTGAAAAATTGTCTTTTCTGATCAAACTGATCTAGTTCTGCTGCGCAGCAGCAGAGCTGGGTCTTATTTATTTTTCATTTTTAAATCCAAATCAAAATGACGTTGTTTTGGTCCGTAAAAAAAAAGTAAACGAAACGGCGTCGTTTTGTATGTTTGAAAAAAAAAATGTATGTATAGTTTGTCCCACCCCCCACCCCCCAAAAAAAATCCATCTCTGTTTCATTTTTATTGTGGATATGCGGTCTAGCATTGAGCTTTCAGGTTTAAAAGAGATTAGAGACCTTGCCAAAAAAAAAAAAAAAAAAATTCAAAGCAAAAAATACAAGGTGTATTCGCTGGTTTACTTGCTTGTGACATTAGCACTAACTCTTCTAATTGCTATTACAACCGTTTGAACAGTATTTTCGGCCATGAAATTTTTGAAGAATCGATTGAGAAATCGGATAGGTGATCAATGGATGAATGATAACATGAATATTTTTATAAAGAGAGAGATATATGATGGTATTGGTAATGATGTTGTCATGCAATGCTTTTAGAACATGAAAATGCATCAATGGATATTGTAAGAGAATGTTGTATGAAAAACTTTATGGATTAATATATAAGTATTAAAATGTCGTACCCAGTGCACAAGGCTCCCGCTTTACGCAGGGTCTAGGAGAGGTGAATGTTGGCTAGCCTTACCCCCATTTATGGAGAGGCTGCTCCCAAGTTTCGAACCCGAGACCTACCGCTCATGGGCGAAGGCACTTGCCATCGCACCAAGTGCGATCTCTTAATATAAATATTGTGTTTAGTAAATTCTTGAGCTTTTTAATTATGACTTTGTTGTTTGAGGATGACCCTATTCATATAAATCTCTGGCTTCGTCCATGATTGGGGATGAGGGTTGCACTCAAGATCTTTGTGCATGAACAAATGTTCTTAATTTTTTTAACTTTTTGAACTTTAATTCATGGCAATGTTACTTATGATTTAATATACGATTATGATGCGCTCTGGTAACAAAATTGCATGTACTTATTTTGGTGCACTCTGGTAAGAAATTATGATGTGTTGCTCAATTGTACATAGAAGAAGAATGTATTCGCTAAAACAAGATTACGATTCACACTTAGCACAAAGAGCAATCCCAAGCTAATCTCTGGCTTAATATCAATTAGCACCAACTCTCAACCAATGATTAAATTCCTGAAACAGACCCAACTGATTCAAGCTAACTACAGCTGACAATCAACCAATCAAAATAAGACACTATGACCAATATATTTGTTAAGAGCTAATGAATGGCAGTATCCTAGCATTAACAACCACCAGGAAAAACTATATGCTTCAAGAAAACTGCTGAATGAGAATTATACATAGTTTGTTTAGTTATGAGATATTAACGAATTATTTTGGCATACTTAATTTGAATAAGAAATGAGTAAGTGCATAATATAATTTTGAATAGAATCATATCGATACTTTGGATATTCATTCATGTAAGTAAACATCCTCTAAACTCGTCGGATAACCGTAATTATCTAAGAGAGTTTTATTAAGGGTGTTCATTACGTTGTGGTGCCGTTTTAGACTGTTACCAAATGATGACAAAATTGTTCAGATAAAAATATATATAAGCAATCTTGGATGAAAAGAAATTCATCAGCTGGTTTGCCCGAGAGGTTAAGGGGGAAGACTTAAGATCTTCTGCACATAAGTGCGCATGGGTTCGAACCCCATAGCCAGCACCAATTTAGATTTTTTTTTTTTAAATTTCTTTCTATTGAACTTAGTATTTCAAAAACCAGGGCCCATAACACAACAGTCAGCTTGAATATAGCCCATAGACTTGAAGTCCAATTGTAAGCCCACATACTTGAAGCCCAATTTTTACAAGCCCAAAAATACAGCAAAATATCGCAGTTCCCAGACCGCCTCTCCTTCCATCAGCACCACAAAATGCCCACCCGACAGACGAAAAAAACAAAAAAAAAACCATCAATAATTATTTGTTCCTTTTTTTCTAAGAAAAGAAAAGACAACTCATTTTCCGTAGGTTGACGAGGAGTAGTCATAATTGAGTATTATTTGGTTCAGGTTTGGTTTGTCAAGGCATTCGCCGGGAATCCTTCTCCGACAGTCTCAACCGCCGCCGCCCCGCCGTCAAGCTTATCCTTCAGTCCTCTCCAATTGGATCATCTCTGTCTGTAAGTCTCTGTCTCTGAGCACTGCAATTTCGTTGATATTTAGGTTAAATTTTGATGTATACTGAATTACCTACTTTTTGTTACTGGGTTCGTTAAGGTTTTGTGAAAATCCTTGGAACCATGTTCCGTTTTTGTAGAATTTTGATCTGGTTAGTGATAATCTGTTAAATCCTTTTGGTGTACTTGTATCTTAATTGGGTTTAGGGTAGGTTGTGATTAGTGAAAGAATTTGGAACAAATGCTAATCTTTTGTATTTGGTTGGTGTTAAGTGCTTAATTCTTTCGACCCATGTTGTAATTTAATATGTCGGATAATGCGCAAGCTCATGTCACGAAAAGGTTGATGCTTTGTAACCGAAAGGTTGCTACTTTGTGACCGGTGGGTCACAGGTTTGAGTCGTGGAAACAAACTCTTTGCAAAGTAAGGGTAAGACTGTGTATGATAGACGTTCTCCCGACCCTGACAAAGTGGGGAGCCTTGTTGGGACGGGGTTGCCCTTTTATATTTGTTTGATATTGTGTTGAATCAATCTGGTGGATTCGCAAATTAATTTGGTCTGGTTTGATTAATTTGAACCTGTGTTTGTCTAATTGCAGAGAGAAATATCACGTGTTCTTCTGGTAATTAAAGGAAAGATGTCTCGGTATCTTATGGAATTGTATCAAAATAATTTGGAGTATAGTGGGGATGTGATGAGTGCAATAGTTCCTTTGATGAAACTTTTGTCCCTCACGGTTATCGGACTGGTTCTTTCGCACCCGAAAACTCAATTGATACCCAGAGCTACTTTTAAGCTCCTCAGCAAGCTTGTTTTCGCCTTGTTCTTGCCCTGTCTAATCTTTACCGAACTAGGTGAATCCATTACACTTGAAAACTTTATTCAGTGGTGGTTTATCCCAGTAAATGTGTTAGTGAGTACGCTTATTGGTTGCTTCCTCGGGTACTTAGTGGTGATTATATGTCGTCCTCCCCCACAGTTGAACAGATTTACCATTATCATGACTGCATTTGGGAATACTGGAAATCTCCCACTCGCCATTGTTGGATCTGTCTGTCATACTCCGAAAAACCCATTTGGACAGCATTGTCACTCCAGAGGGGTGGCTTATGTCTCTTTTGCCCAATGGGTTGCTGTAATTCTTGTATATACCTTTGTTTACCACATGATGGAGCCTCCGTTGGAGTACTATGAGATTGTTGAAGAAGGGGGTGAGAAGGACGAACCACCAACTAACGATATTAGCAGGCCTCTACTTGTAGAAGCTGAATGGCCGGGTATTGAAGAAAAAGAAACCGAGCATTCCAAGACACCCTTTATTGCTAGAATTTTCAAAAGCATCTCAAGTGTTTCACAGACCACTTTGCCAGATGTTGATCTCTCAGGAGAAGGTGGCGGAAACAGTCCCAGGTCGATTAGGTGTTTGGCGGAACCTAGGGTGGTCAGGAGGATGAGAATTGTTGCTGAGCAAACTCCATTACAGCACATAATGCAACCCCCAACAATCGCCTCTTTACTGGCTATCATCATCGGGACAGTACCTGTGTTAAAAGCTTTTTTCTTCGGAGAGGATGCTCCACTATCCTTCATCACAGACAGTTTAGAGATTTTAGCCGGTGCAATGGTGCCTTCGGTGATGCTTATTCTTGGGGGTATGCTTGCAGAGGGGCCAAATGAGTCTACACTCGGCCTCCGGACAACCGTTGGTATAACTGTGGCAAGGCTTTTACTGCTTCCTCTGGTGGGAATTGGTATAGTGGCGTTGGCTGACAAGCTCAATTTTCTGGTCGATGACGATGCAATGTACAGGTTTGTGCTTTTGATGCAGTACACGACACCAAGTGCAATTTTATTGGGAGCAATTGCGAGCTTGAGGGGTTACGCAGTCAGCGAGGCTTCGGCACTTCTCTTCTGGCAGCATGTGTTCGCTCTCTTCTCCCTTTCCTTGTACGTTGTCATCTACTTTAAATTAGTAACATTTGTCTGAGGTTTGAATAAGATGTGTTTGTTTTGTGAACAAACAACGAAAGTGGATTCTTGTGATCTGCTCTTTCACTTTCTCATAAGCCAGTGATGCTTAATCGTCTAAAGCTTCATTAAAACCAAAATCAGATCTGTATGTTATGTTTACTATGAGCCTATGAAACTTGTTACACAGAGACAAAGTCATTAAAATATTTAATTGCATCGTGAGCTTCTTGTAATTAAATACGACATTAAAGTGATTAGTTGTATAGAGAAAATCAAGCGAGCGACAAATTTATCAGCACTATTATTAATGAGAAGTACACAATTAAATTTTTAGAGTGCGAATGATAGTATTTGAATTAATTTTTGAACTATTAACTTCCTGAAATCTCAATTTGTATTTTTGTAGAAGTGCATTGCTGTATTCTCTCGTTGCTATAGAGCTTGTTTGGATATACTTTTAAAATAACGAAAAGCGCTTTTAGAGAAAATGTTTTTGGGTTCCAAAAGAACCTAGAGTGCTTTCTGCAAGAAACACCAGATATGTCCTTCTAGGAAGCTCTTTGAGTGCCTTTCTAGGTTTTACTTGTATTTTTACTAAGGATTAGTTCTAAAAGTATTTTCACCAAAAGCGTTTTCGATTATTTTAAAACCACATCCAAACGAGCTCATATTGTTTCGGTGGCTTTTACTTAAGAAGACAATTTCAAACCAAAAACAAATGCAAACCCTTTTATCTTGGTGCACTTTGACTTGACCAAAGCCTTCTTTTCGTCGATAGACTTCAAAGTCCTAGGTTGAACACGGACCATTTCTTACCATTTGCACATATGAACCTTGTGTTTTTATCTTGAACAAGACGATTTCCAAACCATCCGACATGTTACTGTCTAGCTTGGGCTTCAATAAGATTTGTGAATTTTTTTCGTTTATAAAGGCAATTACTTGAAATGTTAATAGTTTTACAGAAAAATGAGAAAAGCAAATGACCCACGAACTGGAGAGATCTTTCAGTATGCGAAACTGTACATAAAAGTCATAATACAATTATAAAAAAATGTATTGTTATATTTGATGTATCAGACCGTATTTCTGACGCACTAAAGAATCTCTCGATTGACTGATAAACGAGAAAAACCAAACGTGGAAGCCGACCAATCAAACAAATGAAAAGGGGGCAACCAATACCAAATTTCCCAAATTACGAATGCAACGCATGCACAATCAAATTGAGTTCCCAAGTAGATGCCCTGCACTTGCTTATGTCTTTTTCATGGACTACACGCAACAAACAAGTGTCTTCGTCAACAACTCCAACAAACAGCCTTTTTCCACTCATCTTAGAAAATACAATTAATTTTTTAGTGTTAATGAGACATTTTTGGTATTGTTTATTTTTAACGAAAAATCATATTTTTATATTTCCTTAGTACTATTTACTACACCTTTATTTGTCATTTTTCATAAAAATTAAATTTTTTTTAGACTTTTCGTTAATTTTTCTTTAAATTTTTAACGTCCGTCGCACAAACAATATAATATTATAACACATGTATGGTAATACAAGTTTCGTTACTAATCACGTAAGTTGTGGCCATAAAAAATAAAAAATAAATGTTCCCACATAATTAAGAAATGCTAATAATAAATAAATTTGTTTAAAACACATATTAACGAAAGTGCTTTTAAAATGACTAAAAATGCTTTATACAAAAAATATATAACTGGTACTTCTTGTGAAAAGTACTTTAAATGTTTTGTAAGCAAATCACATTGGGGAGTATGCGGAGATAGGGTGCCAGAAGAAAGAGAGGAAGGGAATACGATTGATGGGGGAGTACACAGAGAATTGTAAATAAGGGAATTGGAGCCTATCCGGATTTATTTTGTGGTCATTCATCGTATATCGTATAGTAAAAAATTATTTATTTATTTTTTAATTTAAAATTAAACATAAATAGTATCTGAAGAAAACTGACCGCACGATATACAATAAATAGCTAGGATATGAGGATCACAAAGTGGATCTGGAAATGATTATCTTCCGTAAATAAGAGGATGCAAAGCAAATCACCATGGACCATGCTTTTTCTAAAAAATAAAAATAATAATAAAAAAGAATAATAATAATGCATAAAAAGGGGTTAATCTGATTCGTATGGAATTCTATTCCTAGCCATTGATTTATTATATGCTCAAATTAATCCAAACACTCCACTCAACTCAAAGGGGCATAACTAAATGGATGTCTTTACCCGAATTTCTTATTTCTCGACGAATAAACAATACCATTTTCGATGGATGATGTTAATCGTCTTTTTCTTTTTTTCAAAAAAGGTTCGTTGACTAAAAACGCTTTTAAATAACCAAAGTTTGAAGAAAAATTTTCAATCTTTTTGTATTTTAGAGCCGTGTAAAATTTTACTTATTTTTATTTTGAAAATAGAAATATAAGGATAAGGGGAGCAGAGGGAGGTTTCAAATTTTAGTCATTTTTCTTTTTATTTGTTCCTCATGTGGTATTGAGGGACAACCTAAATACTCAAAATTGTATTTTCTTCCTTTTTCTAATGAAAATAAATACCTAAAACGAAATTAATCAGTAGTTACTATTGCATCCGAAACGTCAAATACCGTAAAAGTTTGTTAATTGTTGAGCATCTAAACAATCCAACGGATACACCAAATACCCCTTCAACTAAATTGCATTTGGCTTAACTCCAACCAAATGCAACTTCTTTTGCCTTTTTTTTCTCATTAACAAATTATGAACTAACAATTAAAGTCTAACTCAAAAACCTATGTCAATATAAGAAAAAGAAAATAAAATAGTACTTGAAAGAGTAGCCCCACAGGATAGGGTTCAATCGTGCCATACCATACAATAACACAAAGTCACAAAAAAATTAGGAAATTTTTAAGAATAAGCTAAAAAGACAATCTATTTCAATCATATTTTATAAACCAGATCACGGTATTAATACGCCCCAATCTCCTCCAACTTCAATTTTCAATGCAATTCTTTGCATATAAATAAATGCAAACATATATTTTCAATGCAAATTTTTAAATCCACCCTCCTGTTTCCCAGTTCCCACCACCTTCATCTTCCCCTATAAATACCACTCCTTTCCCCAACCCGCCTCCTCACAAACCCTATCTCCTCCTCCTCCTCCTCTCTCTCTCTCTCTCTCTCTCCCTCCCAAATGCTGACTGCCACACATTCCTAGATACAAAAGCCCTGACTCTGCTGCCATTTTTTGGTCTGCCCAAATGCTTGAATACCCCAAAAGATAACATTTTTGATTCATTTTCAATCCAAATTCTGGGTTTTGATTTTATCTATATTTTAGTATAACCCAATAATAGTTTCTCTTTATTGATCCCATTTTATTTTTGGGTTCTTCACAATCCGGCCATGGAAGCTGGGATTTTGTTGCCTTTGCCGACCTCCTCCTCCCCTCTCTCTCATCCTCCTCCTCCTCCGTCTGTGATTCTAACCCAGGACGAGTTGAAGAAAATCGCCGCCTACAAGGCCGTCGAGTATGTTGAGTCCGGAATGGTCCTCGGCCTCGGCACCGGCTCCACCGCCAAGCACGCCGTCGACCGAATCGGCGAGCTTTTGAAACAGGGGCAGCTTCAGAACATTGTAGGAATACCCACGTCGAAAAAGACCCACGAACAAGCCTTGTCTCTTGGAATTCCGCTGTCGGACCTCGATTCCCACCCTGTTCTTGATCTCGCGATCGACGGCGCCGACGAGGTCGACCCCCACCTCAATCTGGTCAAAGGCCGAGGTGGGTCCCTCTTGAGGGAGAAGATGGTGGAGGGTGCCTGTAAGAAATTCGTCTGCATCGTCGACGAGTCGAAGCTCGTGAAGCATGTGGGAGGCAGCGGGCTGGCGATGCCGGTGGAGGTTGTGCCGTTCTGCTGGAAATTCACTGCCAAAAAGCTCCAGGACTTGTTCGAGTACGCGGGCTGCGTCGGAAAGCTAAGGACTTTCGTCGAAAATAGCAAGCCTTTCGTGACGGACAATGGGAATTACATTGTGGATTTGTATTTCCAGAAAGATATGGGGGATCTGAAGGCGGCTAGCGATGCGATTTTGCAGCTTCCCGGAGTTGTGGAGCATGGAATGTTCCTTGACATGGCCACCACTGTGATTGTTGCAGGGGAGCTCGGAATCACGGTGAAGAATAAGTAGCCGGAAAGGCGAATTTGGTGGTAGTTGGAGATGGGTTTCTAACTTGTTACCGGTAGGAGTAATTTATATAGCCTTGGTTTCCAATCGAAATGTGGAAGTTCGATTGGGGTTTATTGTAACCAGGGAAGTTTTCTTCTCCTAGAGTTGGTTTATACTATTTGTTTGGGAGGGTCTCCTGACGTTTTGATATTTTCTTTGATCCAATTGAGCAAGAAATATTGGGAAGTTTGGATGAATGACTGCCGACGGTTGTCATATTGTTTTGATATAAACTCAGCCTCATTATTCATGGAATTCTCTCACATTTTACTAATAAACACATGTTGATTGTATTTGTTCAGATTTTTGAATTGTAGTTGACACCATGTTTAATTACTTCGTTCTCGTTGAGATTATATTTGACGTTGTAAATAATCTTTCGATATCAGAACAGGCCCCATATTGTTTAATTTTCCGTTGAAACTTGTACGGTATTCCCCATTCAGTTCATCAGCGTGGAGGAACGGAGTTGTAGACATGAAAAGACATGAAAAGATAAAAACTCAACGGGGTCACCCTCGAACCAGACACATCTTAGGAAATTGTTGTGTTGATCTGTTCCAAATGTTCTTAGGTAATTGTTGTGTTGATCTGTTCCAAATGTTTTTGTTGCAGCCTTAGCATTTGTTTCTCGCCAAGGTTTGATTTGCATAGGTTCTCATTGGTATCAATTTGATACTATCAAATAGTCTGATGTAGCAATAGCATAATCAGAAACATGTATTGAACAAGGAAAGATTCATATCTATCAAGCGTATGGTCGGATCATCTGGTATGCGACATATTTGCTAAAGATAATCTTCCTCTAATCTACCCGTCAATCTCTTGAATTCTTTAGCACACATCTAACCGTTAAATTTATCAATGTATGTCATACGTGAATTTTCGACTTTAACTGCCCGGGTTCATGCCTCCTGAATGATTGCCAATTCTCTGCGCAAGTGAGATGATAGCGGACTTTCTGAATGCTTGGTGAAATCATAGCTGATAGCTAATCAGTTGTGCTCCTCTCTCCTTTTTGAGTTTTTGCGTTTGATTCCCCTACTAATTTTATCTCTAGCTTAGGCCCAACTTACCAATATCTAAATTCAAGTGATTTGATCGCAAAATATGCAGGCCCTTTTTTTTTTTTTTTTTTTTTCTTGAGTTGCAATGCAAAATGGTCCTTGATCCGTGAGTAATTAGTAGGCCATTAACCCTAAATATTGTGAATAGGCCGAATGTCGAAATTTTCTGGGGTTCAAATGCAAAAGCAGATGGTGATTGATAGATTCGTAGGCATCTCTTTTCCCTTTCTCCTTTAATTTTTTTGTAAGATTTTCTCCTCTCTTAATCCGCTTCTCTCCCCTCTTCTCCTACCACACTTTTTTTTTGTCTTTCTCACTATACAAAATTAATATAAAATGTTGACGTGCTTTAATTGTAACTGCTTAAATAAGAGAGGAGGGAAGATGAGAAAAATTAGGAGAAGAGAGAATCATAATTCTCTAATGGATGAGATTGCCTCCTCTCTTCTCACAGTTTTTTTTCTTCTTCTCTCTCTCTACTTTTTTCTTCTTTCTCTCTCTACAAGATGAAATCATAAGTGTTCAAACAAGAGGGAAGAAAATGGGAGGGAAAAAAAGAGAGAAAAGAATCTTTGTCCTGCTCCAATGAAGTATGGAGTATTACTATTAGGCCTCGTTTGACAGCTCAGACTGTACTAACTATTTTTATCAGATAAGATAAATAGCTACCGGATAGTACTGACTAAATTAATCGAGCGTTTGGTGCAATATTGGACTAATGATCGTATTATTTATACTGTGTTTGGTATTGAACCAGATAAGAAAATGGAAGGAAAAAAAATTGACAAATCTTTGTTTCTTTGTTTGTTAAGATCCGAAACGGAGCACCAAAGAGTATGCGGTGGAGGAAGCTGAGAGAGATGCAGTGGCGGAGAAGAGGGAGGGAGATCATGCAGTAGCCATAATAAGATGCAGGGAGAGAACCGAAGAGTTTGCGGTGGAGGAAGCAGAGAGAGATGTAGCTGCGGAGAAGAGGGAGGGAGGTATTGCGGTAGCCAGAAGAAGATGCAAGGAGAGAAGAGTCTTGTTTTGGGTGGTTAGATGGAACCTGGTGGTGGTGGTGGTTCATGGTGGCCGGCAGAGGAATTGGATTTTGGGATTTGCGGGATTCTTCGGTTTCTTGGAAGCTGCTTGGAAATTTGGAGAGTTTTGATTGGGAAAATGGAGGGAGTGTGGTTGGTTTTTGTAAACAGAGAAAGCGGCTGGGAAGAAGAAGAGAGGGAGGGAAACAAAGAAGAAGAACATAGGGAGGGGAAGAACGGAGGGAGGGAGAGAACGCCGACTAAATTGTCCCGTGCTTTTAGAGAGTATAATGAAGCGGACATCCACCGAATAAAATAGGTGGGCCGGATTATTTAATACGGTATGTCAAACGATGCCTTAGTATGTGCCTAGTTAGTTATTAAAAGATTCTCATTAATCATTAGTGAGCCATTAATACTTTTTGGTATGAATTATGATAATGGAGTAGAGTGGATTGATTACTAATTTGCTAGGTAGATGGTAAAAAGAAATAATAATTACACATTTTTATCCTTCTCTCGTACGCACTTCTTTATTTAAAGTCATTGAACAAATGAAACAAAAACGATCAGCAAAATTACGTAAAGATGTAGGGCAGAAAAAAGTGTGGGATTCTCATCTCACCAGAAAGTAAATGGCCAACAATGTAAGAAAATCCACCCAAGCCTTCCACTAACAAAACTAAAGCCAACAGCTGACCACATAAAACCATTGATAGGTTCACATTCTCGGAGTTGTCCTTTCCATCCCACAAACACCAAGATGCACATTATGCTATTGTCGGTGACTGATTCTAGCAAACCATCTTTACCTGTTTAGCCTTCTTTTAGTGCTCAAAACAAATGTCAGAATCTCGATTCTCATGTCACTAATCAATTGAGCGTTTGATTTTTTTTTATTATAGATGTATATGAGACTTACATTTATTAACGGTTAAAATTATTTTTTCATTTTATGGTGTGAATGTCATACATCAACATCTACAAATGATTCACACTCAGACTGGTCCTAGCATTGTCCAATGCTACTATTACACCAATGGACAATGGTGCCCATAATCAAACGGCAGATACGATAACATTAGAAGTCTACACATATTTCGTGTCACAAGTGTATACAAAAACATAAGAAATGTTAGGTGTCGCTTGGGTTAGATCTAAAGACAAATTATAAAGAACCACCTCCACCACCTTGGAGCTTGACCTAAAGGCATCCAATCAGTGATCACATGCATGCACACCTTTTCAACTTCCCCTGGTCCCCCGTGTCATCTCTTTTTTCCACAGCTAGCTTGCAGATACAATAATGTGTAGAGATCATTTTATATATACTAGCATATGTGTGTGTGCGAGAATTTTTTTTTTTTTTTTTTTTTTTTGTCTTTGAAATAGAAGGAGAGAGGAAGAGAATGAGAGAATGTGGGAGTGAAAAGTTTTTTTATTTTTTTTATTTTTATTTAATTAGAGATATGTTATGATTACATGTAAGTGAGGCTTTGAAAAAAAAACAGCAAAATTTGGTTGTGTGAAATTACATTTATGCCCCATATTTCTTATTCATGTTCTGTTTTAATTAGAGGGCTAAACTAGTAATTTCATAAGGTTTTGATTGACAATAAGTTTTATTAATTAGTAGAGATATATGAATGGGTATAATGTTAGCGTCTCGAGCTAATAATTTAAGAAAATTGACAATTCATTAAATATGTTATTTCGTGAGAATTTATAACCTAGCGCCATACCTGTCAGTCATTACGTCCCTTTGTAGGCCTTTGTTCCCTTGTCTAGCTGCCACGTCGCTCAGAGTTGATGTTTGAATAGGTCTGCTCTTAATATTCGTGGAACCTTGTCTCTTAAAGATGTCATTGACCAGCTTGCCATCTAGTGCTCAGGAAGCACTAGATGAGGAATTGTTTGGCGTTGATAAGACCCAACGTTAATAGGTACTCATATCATTAATTTGTTCGATGTATTTGAATACTTAAATATTCTCCGATTTGACTGATTATTTTTGTAAGAATAATATGCATGGTGTGAGTGTGAGTGGGAGAGTGATATATATAGTCACTTTCCAGAATTGAAGATAGAATTTGACCCCGGCGTTACGTACCAGTTATGCCATTTTTCTCATATACGACATTGGAGTACGTTTATACATGAGACGTTTATAGATGAAAGAGTGCTTCATATGTCTTTTATTAGGGTCATAATCCGATTGCCGTGAGAAATAATTAACATGATTGGGACTATGATGAGACTAAAACTGTATGAAGTTGAATGATAAAGTAATTTAGACGTGCATCGGCATATGTGTTAGTTAGCAATGTCCCCATCTCCCTCTCCTTGATTTAGACCTCAAACAACTCAATGTAAAACGGCTAAGCCAAGTTAAGTTAACCTACATTATCCTAACCAACTACAAAGAATAACAAATCTTCGTTTTGCTTTGATTCGAACTTTAGACAATTTCTAATATTGAAATAATATTACTAAATTAAAAGTTAGAAGTTGAACTAGGTCATCGTTTCTGAATGCAAGGTCAATCACACCTTTAAATTTTGATATCAAATCTCAAAATTTAATCTCATATATTGAGCAAAACAGTGAACATTATCGCTCCTTAAAGTGGAGAACAAAAACACACTCATATCCTTGCTCATTGAGTAACTGAAAACAAATGTGACTGTTCAAAATAGAAAAACAGGGATGACGCAAGGATTGAAGATCCACAATGTTATTTTATATGGTCTAATTTATTTATAAATTTAAGAAGCGTTAACCCATTATGTAATTTTTTTTTAATTAAAAATCCCCATTAGCAATATGTTTAGCGCAATAAACACACTGCTTTAATTAAAAATCCCCATTAGCAATGATGTTTGTTTGGGGCTGCCTAATTCCGTCCCTTAAGCTTAGCTTAGTCCTCCTAATCCACAAGCATACACACTGATTTTAAAAGTTGTTCACGTTACTCATATTTCATGCCCCAGTAAGAGATTTTAAGTTGTATTTTGACAAACTGGATATCTAAGTTATAGTAATAGTTAATTATTGCATGATTTTTTTTTTCTCAAAAATTTATTGCATGATTTAACTCAAGTTTTTTACAATTTACAATTTAATATGTGTGTAAAGACTTATTATTTTTGTATTTACTTTTTATAAGTTACTTTGCGTATATGTCAAATTGTAATTTGCAAAATAACAAATAG